ATACTGCCATACGATTATCGATTTTTTTCTAGTGCGGAACATTTTAGGGGGAAGATGATCAGAGAACGTGATCAAGTTACCAAAAAATATTTGACATAAATAAAGTTACTGAAAGCAAAGTATATTACAATATTTTAGAAAGTTGNCTCCCCCTGATAAGCCGTCTCCAAGACATACCCCCACCCACTCCATAATACCGTGTTTTCAGAATCATATACAGACTATGCCTCATTTCGAGAGTTCAGAACTAGTAGAAGTCAAAATGTTCAGATTGACACTTCGTTGAAGCTCTCGACCTTGGGTCTTTCTGCTAAATACAAATCACAATAAATCACAATAACTATCACAGTGTACGTCTGGACCTGGTTATGTTACGATGCCAAACCCCCTCCCTCCTTGCACAGGTATCTTGGCCGCAGTCCATTACAAATCCTAAGCCTCACCTTTTTCACAGCGCCATCTATATTCAACAATGTTTATATAATTATATGCCGCGTGCAAAGGATGACGCTGAAAAGCCGGATTTTTCATCAAACGTTCTGTACACTGAGAGTCACCTTCCATCAGGACACTTTTCTTAGATGGTTTTGTTATAGATTCTGTTGGCAAACTTTATCGGTGAGTTCAGGATGAGACATCTGAAGTGAAGGAAACAAGTGGTATCGACTGTGTCAGTTGTTCAATTCACAGCTGTCACATCACGATGCAATGTGCTGGTGAAGATTTTACAATGTGCCACAGAACATTGACGCTGCAGATTAAAGTGCTTTTGAAGAACGCTGTCATCTACTTCAAACTCTCCATTCAGAAAATTGACTGGAGAACTGACGTTGTTTCTTCTATTATAATTTGTAAGTAGGCCTTCTTCTTGTTCCTCAGGCTCTTGAGTAATCTGTCGAAGTCGTAATATATGAACTGAACTAAGAATAACACAAACCATGGAGTGTACACTTACGTGACCTAGCACGACCATCCCAAGTTTCAATTAATTAAATTCAATTCATTTATTATGTACAGACACAGATGTGTCTGTACATATTGCCATCACCTGCGTCTGTCGTCGCCGCTCATGTCGCCGTCACCGTCGCCGTCGCCGTGCACTTTCAGCGTTAACACCATAAGTGGAAGACAGTTTTACTTTTTGGCTTTATATTTACAGAGCTGACGAATATTCATAAAACGCAGGTCAAGTTCGAAAATCAGCATGATCGGGCCATTATTGTAGAATTTGTAATGTCTTGTCTAGTGGCAACACCATGCAGTGGCAAGAGCTCTTTAGGAAATAAAGGATAGTAAGATGGCATGGTCTTGAGTGATGAGTAAAAGATAGTAATGATAGTCACTAATCTATAACCCACGCAGAGTGCAAACAAGCACAAGACATAACATGGTGTCAGAAGCGGTCTCAAGACAAAAGTAAACTGCAGTAATAGAGACATAATGGCAACTGGATTTTCACCTCCAAAGTTCAGGGCACGTGATGTCGCCGCGCAAAATGTCGCGTGGAAAGAATATAAGGAGGAACTGAAAATTTATCTCCTTGCTGCTGGGTTGGAAGACGCAGAGGACAAACGAAAGGTAGCAATTTTAATATACGGCCTAGATAACAAACACAAAAAGGTGTTTGAGACATTTACCTTCGACAATGAAGAAGATAAAGACGACTTTCAAATCGTATTAGAAAAGTTTGACAAACATTTTGAACCGCAAAAACTGGTAAAGCTATATATGAAAAAATTTGATACATGCTATCAGAATGAAGGAGAGAGTCTGTCAGATTACGTATCAAGACTGAGAGAAATTGCTAAGTACTGTGAATATGGAAAAACACTAGAAAACCAGTTGTGCAAGCAGATATCTGTGGGAGTGAAATCTAAAGAATTAAGAGATAAATTGTGGAATGAAGATTTAACATTAGAGCAAATAATGACAAAAGGACATCTCCACGAACAAAAGCTAGAATCCAAAACTATATTAGAACAAAGAGAGACCAGTACAACAGTCCATGTAGTCAAGGGTGCCAGTGGTAGGAAACCGCAATTCCGCAGAGAAACCAGGCAATATAGAGGTCCATTACAGCAACCACAGCGACCCAGAGGACAACCTCAACGAGGAATATTTAACCCATGTCCAAGGACACGATGCACACGCTGCGCAGGAATACATTTCCGTGACACTATTTGTCCAGCTATGGGTAAAACTTGTTTAAAATGCGGAAAGCAGAACCACTATGCAAAATGTTGCTTGACTAAAGAAAGAAACTATAACAGTAACAAGTCAAATGTATATTATGAGTCTGATAGTATTGTAGATGATATGGAAAATGTCCATGTTTGGACAAACAGAGTAAATGGTGTGAATGCACAGAAAAGTTGGTCAAAAGAAATTTCTGTGAAGGGTCATGGTTTAATTGATTTCAAATTAGACACGGGAGCTGAAACATCAGTAATGTCAGAAGAAACATTTACATCCCCAGAAATGCACTGCATGACGTCACGCCTAGCCCACTGCGCATGCGTGCATTTTTAATGAGTTGCTAGATTGCCATAGGAAAATGAATGGGTTCGCGATTCGTGGGTAATTTGTGAGAATTGACAAACTATCGGCCTGATGCCGATAGACAGCAACGCTGTACTATGCTTCAAGCAACTCCTGACCAAATATCGCTAGGGTTTTAAAAAAAATTCTGTTGTACACACGTACTAAGAAGTTTGCCGTATATTGCCTAGACTACCCTCAGCAAAACGCAAATATTTTCAGTAATAGTGATTTTAGATGGTAGATTCACTCAGAAACAAAGGGAAATTAATTCGTTGCCGATAGCACCAGCTGATAGCAGTAACATACAGAGTCTGATTAAAATATTTCATGGCAATTGAAGATTTTTTACCACTGTACAATGGAGTCCAAAAAGAGCACTTGGCACAAATGTAAAACTGCCCAGTGCAAGGCCAAGAATTCAATCAGTATTTTCAATCATATTATCAGATTCTACATAAATTGACTGACCATATCACTACTCAGTATTTAACTAATCTCTTAATCCAAAATTCCTATCATCATTTATTAATTATGCAAAATTCTTCTTTCAGATTGCTATTTATTAAAATTTTTAATGCTGCAACTGTTCCAAAATAATCTTGTAGTACAGGAAAAATGCAAATAAGAAGTGGAAGACCAATTTTACCCACAGTATTCAATTATTTGAATATAAAAAGAATAAGATCACGATTTAACAAATTAAAATAATCTTTCATGAACTCTTTCATGAATAACATATTAAACAAAAATGAAAGTTATAAATCAGTGGTAATGGCTTATTCTGGAATATATGACCTCTGTACATCATCAGTACCTGACTTGGTACATTATAGTTACTACTTGGATACAGAGTTAGATTTAATAATGTAACAATAAGAACAATATATATTATAATAATAAACTTCTCTGCACATATCAGACGCTTGTTACCATGAACTAACACTACTTGACAATGGGCTGAGCACTTATCACAGAGTCTGTGTGCGATGCCATTCTTGTGCTGTGATTGGTTAGTTGAGTCACGTGAAGCCCTACTGTTGCGCCCTC